GGCCATCATTACCCCTCAGGCCACCACACAGCTCTACTCTAATCTATTGTGATTGGTATGCTCTGGAGCAGCTCCGTGCGTGCACCGGATAACGATTTACACCACATGTGCGTATGCATAATGTCCGTACACAACAGTTTCGTCCTGTCGTCACAGCACATGTTTTAGTACAAACAGCCATGTACATTTTATTTTAAATTAATTGTCTTGTACATGGTGGTGATCACGTCATCTTCTGTTATGATTGTGATCATACACCGTACACGACCGTCCAAAGCCAAAGTGTTTTTTGTTCTGAAACCATGAACCGTTGGCAGCACACCTCATGGTACATCTCACGGGTCCTGAGTCCTCACGACAATGAGTATGCCTGGTGAGTATGAAACAAGAAGACCCGTTCACCCTTTAGTCAAGGCGCACTTGGATGAAATCGATACGACGCAAGTCCCTTGCCAGTACCGCTTCAGCAAGGTCACGTCTAGAGACGTGGCCACGACACGACAACCCAACCTGCTTCCTTCGGTGCTTCCCCGTCTCTTATTTCGCATACTAGTATCGATTCGTAACTATACACGTACATCGAAGTACTACAGTACCGGTACTACCTTTCTAGGCATGTGCTAAATACAAACAATGGATACTTTCTCCCAGGGGTACACACATTTTCAACTCAAAGTTCTAATCACAAAAGCATAATACCGACCTACTCCGGTAAGCAGCAGCAAGTTTGGTTGGTTTGGTTTTTATTACTTCAAGACGTATTTCAGTTCGTTGCCAAATTAGAAATATCAAGTGGGACGAACGAAAAGCGAAAGTAGAACAGAGCAGAAAGGAAGATGCAACTGAAAGGAAATCCTTGGCTCTCCATCCGAGTCCATTCAACCAATAAAATAAAAAATAAAAAAATTTCACGGTTCGCGTGAGACTCGGCCAAAGGCCCAGTTTTCCGCATCCGCAGGAACGCCACCACCCTCTTGGATCAAGGCGCAGATGCAGCTCCTAAGCGGTGGGAGGTGAGTAGATCAGACCCACCACAAAGTGGTCAAAGACCGAAATCCCATTCACTGCATCCATGTTTCCCTCGTGCCAGGCCACGAGTTCCCAATTAACTGTGGGTCGCAGCACGGCTGGAAAAAATCCTTCCGCTTCCAAGCAGGACTTGAACCTGGTACCCTCTGTTTCTCAATCATGGTCTTAGACCATCCCACTATGCCTGCCTGCCCAACCAATAGTCGTGGGTTTATTCCCGTAGCTAACTAGCAAGGTAACTAATTACCAGTACATGTACAAGTATGGCCTCGGATGGAGATGGTGGTGTTAGTGGACATTATAATAATTACTTGTAGTTCCTTGGTCCTTTTCTTTGCAATAAATTAGTACATGTACATGTACATGCACTTCGGTTCTTTTACATAAAGTACCTCAAAGCAGTACATGCCTTTATTAGTATGCAAGCCATGATTGTGAACATGCCATTATTGTGAACATGCCATGATTGTGAACATGCCATGATTGTGAACATGCCATGATTGTGAACATGCCATTATTGTGAACATGCCAGTGGACTCGAAGTAGCAATCATCTCAAGGGCTAGTGGGGAAAGGTGGGAATGTCGGAATGTATCACTATCAGCAATCCCGGGCCGGAGTGTTAATTCTACGATAGGAGGAGGAGCAGGAGGCGGATGTACATGTAGATTTTTTGTATTGTATTTGATTATTTCACTTGCCCAACAGACCCTAAGGTCTTCTTACAGGATGCCGACGATGCATGAATAAGTCGTAGAGATACTAGTCCACAATGCACGGGTTCCCAATTCTCTTATCCAATCCTAACCGTTCACACAAATCTATCATCCAAAAATGCTATAGCCCAATCCACGTGACATAATATTTATTGCTCGAAATGTCCTGCCCTTCTTCGCAGAAGATGACGGATGGTGGAAGACACCATTTGTTCAGGTGTCTTGTGGCACGGAGTTGGAGGAGACGGCCAGGGTCGGGTGGTGCCACCTTCCCAACTATGAAGCACCGTTGGACGTCGTTAGCGGTTTTGACAGATGATAATATGCTGCACTGGGTGTACATTCGTGATATGAAAGTGCTGATATTGATGGGCTCCGGCGTCGCTCCTGCCATTAATTGTCCCTGCTCTTTCCCGTTTCTTTTTCCTTCAGAATTCATCCGCAGGGTTGTCCCGTTATGTTTGACTTACAATCCTGTAAAACAAAAGAGGGCTAGCTTGGGAAGGCATCACCTATCCTCCTCTGCTGTGTGCTGTCAGAGCGGGCTAGGGTCGGTTGCTCTTACGCATGGTACGTTCATGTTGCTAGTATCCACGTCATGTTACAGTGTTGACCATGTTAGGACAGCTAAATATAGGAACAGTGCTGAATCACCTGTCATTCTCACCGATTAGTCAATGTCGGGGTTTACTGAAAGGTCACCAAGAATTGTGCGGCTCCAACGGCCTGCTACGCTACAAGAACAAGCCCCCGGTGCAGCATTACAAGGAACTGTGCACGTACTCGGTTCTGAGTTTGGGGCATCGCTCTATGGCCAGTATGGGCTCTTCTAGACTTCTCGCGGAGCAGGAGATGGGGTAAAAAGCCTTTACCATCCTCTGAGGCAACTAATCCCCCAAGCATGTACGGCTCGGCCAAAGAAAAATTCACAGAACTGACTATCAATTCAAAAAAAAGAAGAAAAAGGACCAAACTGACTATCATCTCCCAGAACAAGAATTGTGATCAGCGCTCGGGATTTGTCCGAGCAAACGTGAAAACAGTCACAAATTCTCACAATACATGTGCAAACCGAAATCTTCAGGAACGCCTTGCTTAAGACCACAATTATAGTCCATGTTTACTTCTTTTCTTCTTTTCAACTTCTTACTCTTCTCCTTGCTAGCCGTGGTTGACTATACAAACCCTGCAATCGCCACGCAAAGTGGCCATTGGCTGCCCAAGCCATGATTTGCTTGGAATAAAACAAAACAAACTAACAGATACCCACACCTCATACTACATGTGTGATAAAAGTACTAGGCGCGATGCATTATGATAATAACGTTTTCAGGAACGTCAACCAATAGTGGACTCGGATTCCTTTCTATAAAAGTATAAATTCAACCAATAGTCGTGGATTTATTCCGGGTAAAGATTGGTCCGATGCGGGAGCAACGGACACAGTTGGCGATATGTACAGCAAAGGAACCATAGAATCCAGCAAGTATGCAGGACATTGTGCAGAGGACAAGCCATGGACTGAGCTGGAAACACAAGGATGGTTTGTATTCTTGCTCTCCTACTTGCTACTGACTTCTGATTGCATGGTTGGGCGGAAAACATGACATTCTGAGCCCGGCTGCTATCAGACCAGACCTACACACATTACGTCTCCATGTTTGAGCTGCCTGCTAAAGTAGCACACGTAAGTCATATCAATGAGCAGCTAAACCGGTGCAGGTACAAAATATGAACGCGAAGGAATGCTGCGATGGTAACTATACGCATGCAGGTGAGCATGTCGAAGGTCACCAAGTCAAGCTGTTGCACCATGCAACCTTGTAGCAGTCTCAGTGATAACGCCTGCTAGAAGCTGCTACATGTACACGTCACTAGCATGAAAAGGCTTGGACAATACTCGTGGCTGGGCGAATAACTTGTATCCAAATTGAACTAATGAACCGCCCTCATCTACGGGTACATTGTGGCTTACAGCGCACAGCCATACATGTACATGTATGCCGCCTATGGCTATGATAATTCTACTGGGATCTCCAGTGCTATGATGCAGACACATCGTAATGATGTTTAGCTGAGGTCAATCAGCGCAGTTCCATCAACCTACCACAAGGCGTTGAGCTTTTAAGAAGGGAGTATACAGTTGTTGATTTCGAAAACCCACAACATGAAGGACTAGGGTGAGGGGCCATAGCACAGGAGAACATCCCGACCCTGGTTCAGCTCAGTCGGTCGACAATCATGGGGTATTTGGACTGGATGGTGGTGGAGGGCAGGAGAACAGGGACCCATCATTCAATGCCCCTTTCCGTCAGGTGGATGCAGTCAACAAGTGAGTGTGTATTTAAGACGTGGCAGGCCACGACGGGTACATGACCTGCACCATGCCCTGAGGTGGTCGCGTAAGACTGAGCCAGTGCGGTCGGTCTGCATGGTACATGCGTACATGGATGCATTAATATAATAGTCAAATGGATACGTGACTGTACTGGTCAGCACAGTCTACGGTCTAGGCCATCGCCAGTCAAGGGTGTGCCACACTGAGCAATACAAATACAATGCCGGAACTACTGGCATCACAATCCACATGTCATCATGCCATCAGCCATTTCGGCATCAGATCGCGCATGCACTGCATCAGCCAATATGGTACCAGCCACCGATTATAATTACACGCATTCACGGCACCAGCGCAGCCACTACATACAATGTACTTCTGACTGCCCGATACATGGTATTGCATAGTGCTAGTAGTGGAGTCAGTACATGGCCATGGGGCTCCATTGGGAAGTGTGGTTTTGGAACATGACAATCATTGTGCTTCTATCCGACTGTATGGATATGACCATTGACGTTGCTCGTACCGTGTGTATAGCCTCCCCAACCCCCCTCCCCTGTCGGTTCTATTGCGTAGGCTGGGAGATAATATTATTTCTACGAGTGAAGTGGGTCCCCTCTACGGCTCTAGCTCTTTCTACTTCGCCCCCCCCCCATATTATGTACAATGGGGTTGGAGGCGGGCATGCTGGCACTTGTGCCTAGTGGTCATTACAGTGCCCTCCACATCCGTCATTGTATCAGTGATCAGCGATGATTGCATGCCCGCTGTGCACATACTAGTCGAGTGGATGCACGAGGTCATCTAGACTACACACAACACACTCACGCAGTCACACACACACACACACGTGCCTAATTGGCTCGTAATACTAATTGACCCAGCACCTCCGCCAGCCACTCGTGTATACTACAAATGCATGCCGCAGTTAGCCCAATGCCAGAGAGAAGCGAAGGCGACAACAACGGCAAGGCTTGTTGCAAGTCAGACTTCCTGCTCGTTGCTACAGTTAGGGATAGTGAGACCTGAGGAAGGTGAATGACTGAAAGCTCTCAGTGAACGCTGGTCAGCAGCTGATTCGCTCGACACCCTGATACGAGATTTAGCATTAGAGTGGACGTGTTGGAAGCTCCACTCTGGCAGAAGTCTTTGGCGGCCCTCGCGCTGGATTCGCGTAGCTTGTAGTTACTTGGCGCTAGGATGGGCGAAGACCATCGATGCGTTTGGCGCGTTGGCGTCGGCCCGCGGACAACAAATGGACGGAGCCAGACGTCGATACAGAGATGGATGTTGGTGATGCTGGTGCTAGTCTGCTGCTGCCAGCCTGATAGTGTATCTGGGATATGTGGAAAGAGAAGAAGAGGATCGTCATCCGTAAGTAATTATTACGAATATACCCCTCCCCACTCTCTAGCTATTCGTGTTCCGCCATGTGCGTTTCCTTTCCATTTTTGCGCATAATCACAGCAATGCCATTGCGAAATCCTTCTTAGGGTCGTTTCTATCCCTTCCTTGCTGTGTTTGCATGCAAAAACACCATTGCGTGTCGGTAACCTTTGAAACAGCCTTTCGGCGGTCTAGCGCGTGGCAGCTCAAGCTTTTCAGTGGACGTAGACCAGATGGGCAAAGGGTAATAATACCGCAGTCACTCTTGTTTCATGACGTTTGGTCTCAAAGTCGCTTAACTAGTGGCCCATGTGCAAGAAGGGTTCGTTGGGGACCTGGGCCACCCATTGTTTCACTCTCCCTGAGTGAAGGCTAACTCTAGGGGTACGCTCAGCTGTATTTCCATGCCATCGTCGTCCAAGAAGTGTCCCAATGTACTCTACGTATGGCCGAGTGAAACGGAGCTCCGGGTGTGCTGTCTGTCGCGTGGATACATGGAGTGATAACAGTGGTTGTGTGTAGACTAGTCTTTCTCATGAATGTCTCAGTGTCTGCTTGTTGAGTGGAGGTAACGCGGAATGATCTAACTCGAGATCTCCAACTGTAGCCATCCATCCCATTCCCTACTACTACTCGTTCTGGAATGGGATTGGGAGAAGGTTTTAGCATGAGATTTACGGTACAGAGCGCCGAACAAGTCCTTTCTAAACCTATTACTTGATATGAGGTGATTAGAGTGTAAAGCTAGGTCCGTACTTTGGGGCGATGGCAAGGGGAAAGAATGTGCCTTGCTGAGGAAGAATGTTCTGTGGTGGCAACTGTGCAACTCGTGGATTGTGTAGTGTGTAGTGTGTTACATGGCGAGCTCTCTGTTGGACGCCTTGGCTTCCTTACTTCGCATAATCGGTAGCTGTGGGTGTGCGTGTATGAGTATGGCAAGAATGGGAGTCGATGGAACGCCTTGCTCGCGCTCCTTGTCAGTAGTCCTTGACGGATCGTGCAAGTACGCGTTTGCCCTGAGAGAACGATGCAGAGACGCCTGCTCAGAACAAAAGAAGCCCACTTATGCCCGTGCTCGGTTAGATCCGAGCAGAAAAGTCACCACTTTGGGCCACTTATCCCACCGCCAGCTTCTCCAAGTAGTTAGCCCTATTGCAGTGCAGGGGGACAGTGGATGGGGCGGGCGAACAGTGTATTCACAGCGCATGGGGACATACTGGGCCCGACAGCATGATTGCATGGTCATGGCATGCTTGCCTTGCCCAATGTCGACGATGAACACGACAGTGTTGCACTGTAACGTAATGGCTTGGTAGTTGCGGTCCAGACATTGCTGGAACGCAGGCGACACACATTTGCTCCTCAATCTTGTTGGGGGAACTTCTGGCTAGCGGAATACCTAATGCATTACCGCCTACATGACAGTATGTTATTTGCCCCTGTGGTTGCGAACGTGAGGACACGACGGTGGTATGGCGCCGCGTGCGGGGTTCGTTCCTGACCGTACTAGGGAGTTGTGGTCTGCATACTGTACCCGCTGTACCTTGCATCTGTAGATTGGCGAGCCTAAGCCTAAGCCAATAAGGGTTACTAAAATCTTATGGTGTAGTGCCGTGGTGGCTGGGGCTCCGTTTGAGTCCCAAGAATGGCTGACCAAAGGTGGCCCCGTCACCACCGCTGGAGCTGCTCATAAAACATGCATGACTGGAGAGGTAGATAGAAGAGGTGTGACTAGATTAGTCTGTTAGGCAGGTAACTAGTGTCAGCGACGCCATGGTTCGCATCACTTCAGCCATGTACCAGTACGGGTTTCAGCGACACCATTAATATCATCAGGTGCTGGCGTTTTTACGTTTATAGCTGCGTTTAAAACGTATTGCCCAGGAAAGGCATCAAATAGAGGTACTGTATGTATAGACAATAGTCCTTGTGTAGTCAAATTGGGCATCGTACATTACGTCACGTATCAAGTACGACACTATGATGCCCAAATCTTGGTTTCTGTTGTGTGTTTTCACGGAGGATCATCGGTCGTGCTTGTCACTCCCTAGCTATGCGCAGCGATGTTTCTAGGCCCCTAAACATAGTCTTTGCCATCGGCGGAGTCTTGTTCCCCAGGCTGCTAATTAAGAACGGAGTATTTCCGAACAAAGAACACATGCATATGGTTCCGTGCATCAGCTGGACCATTGACGTATGTAATGTGGCCTAACTGGTGGAATACACACTTGCCATGTACTCATACGCCGACCATGAACGTAGCACTACACACTGGTCGTGTGGCTTGAAGACGTCCGCACACAGTGCGGTTTTCTGTGGCCTGTAAGGAAGGCATGTCTTACACGCCCGATGAGACCCGCTTTTTCACTACCCAGATAGGCCAGAGCGGAGCCTAGGCAATGATTTGATGCTGGCAAGCAGGGCGTAGTAGCATAGTGTTATGGTGTTGGTCCCAGAGCGGTGCCTCTCTGATCAATCATAATGCTGCCTCCAGGCATTCCTGCTAGATGGTTTAAGTTAGTCCTGGCCAACTCCAGTCCCAGTGCAGTGCAGGGTCTTCTCATGTTCTGGATGCGCAGCAATATTGTCTGGACTGGTTATCACATGATCTGCACTTACAAACCATGATGATTAGCCCTGGAAGCGGGACGGCAAGGGGGAAAATCAAGCGACATTGGAATTCCTCAACTAGTCGAGGCGGCGGACGCGGAGGCTCTACACCCGCCCACGACAATCTCAGCCAATGACATTGCAGTAGAAGAGCTCTGTACAAGGTCACAATGTAGACCTGTAGTGCTCCTACTGACATAGTTCACGCAGAACAATAACTACATGTCACTAATTCTTCGCTTAGTTTCGCTTGGCGAGGGCAGTGTTGGTACAAAGGCCACCAGGATGTAGCAGTGCGGCATGTAGAGAGTGTGCACAGCAGGAGAATTGAGCAATGTCGCCCTTCACTACTCCTCATTCCTGTCGACAAGTTTTCGAGTAGGTGGCGATTTCGCGTCCAAAGGTCGCGAGCAATTCCCGGCAGGTGCTTCTAGAGGCGATGGTGTGCTCGTGAGAGCGCGCACTATTCCACAGCATTGAATATACACGGCAATGAATATAGATCCTGCGCGATCTGGCGTGCCACGCATAGTGGCCAGTCCCTTCGGTATTATTTCATGCTGGAAAAAGTGAAGCTGCAGGGCCGTAACCAACTGCATGCAGGCACATGATGGAGAGAGAGGGAGAGCTGCATAGCTTGCTGCAAAGCCAACGCGGATGTAGTGGTTGTTCCCCTAATCGGATCTGGCTGAACAAGTCGTCCTCGAGCCAGCTATCCGCAGTGCAACGTTACCAGTGTGTTCGACACAGTGCTCGGCCGCAGGTGGAAAGGAGACTTCCGTCTTCTTCTGCTTGCACCTCTGCTAGGCACACAGTCAGTAAGTAGCAGGATCAGGAATTGAGTTCCTTCAACTTAGTTCGTGCAGGCCGTTGACCGCACCATCGACCTCTTGCCGTTGCTTCGTTGGCTCTGAGCCCCCTGTTTACAGCCCCGTGGAGGATCTCAACCGGCAAATCAGCGGTCGTTCTGCCGGCCAGTGGGACGAGCACACTTGCCCTAGCTACAGACAAACGCTCGTCTAACCATTCTAAAACCTGTGCCAGGCCAGGAGGGCAACTTCCACTAAATTCTGGACTGCCAGAAGTAAATATTTCACCAGGAACGGAACGACATAGTACCGACGCGCGCACACACACACACACACGCACACACACACACACACGCACACACACACACACACAGGCAAACACACAGATGCACGGACATGTATGTCCATACATCTTGGTAAAATGGGTACACCGCCTTCATCGTTGGTTCACAATGCCATTCAATGATCACCAGTACAGTAGACATTGCCACTCTTGCCTGTGGGCATAGAGTGGCTAAGCTACATACTACATGTAGCTAGACGAAGTAGGTTATTAGTAACAGAAGGCACATGCAAATGCTATGAAAATAGTTACAAAGGCATTTGAGGACATTCTCAAGTGCAGACTGCAGCATCAGCATCCTGTATATGACGTCACATTAGTGTCAGGCTGTCGTGTACAATCACGGATCTTCCCCTTTTTTTGGTAATTGCGGTAAGGAAAGTGCGCCACATAATACATACATGTAGTTACATCATCACGCGTCTATGAAGTGCATCGTGGATACTGAACGGAGGGAGGCATTATACTTTGTGGCAGGAACACAATGCTAGCAACTGGATTGAAAGTCGAGCTGTGGTCTGCAAAGAACAATCAGACATTAATGTCTGTCAACTGATGCAGTTGTGTCGCTACTAAAGCTCATTCTGGTTCGGGTAGGCTGTATTGCAGAGTCTGTGTGGTGGAGCATGAAGCAAGCAGTTAATCCTCGTCGTGCGCCGCCATATTTCAATGTCTGTGGCATGACCCACAAAGCCACACTGGCCGTCTGACAGACTCAGTGGAAACGAAGTTCAGCCTTAAAATCGTGTCACATCGATACCATGTTCATCACCATCACCTCCAGATGGCTGGGAGGGCTGAGAGCTGAGGCTTGCTAACATTGCCCAGATTATGACAAAACTAACTCAGTCTCCCTGGCTAGGTTGCCCCTGTTCAGATATTGCCAGCCAGTATCGATACAAGGCCACATCAATTCCGCCATGTACTTTTACTCGTACTTGTAAAGTTGTAGCCATGCAGGTGATTAACTGTGGTGAGGGTGATAGACATTGAGGTACACAGGAGCAGGGTGAGCAGGGGCGCCTGCTGAATCGTATCCAGCGAATGGGAACACAGATCCTGCGCACACGAAAGCAACCGATGAGACGGCTAAGCATCCATGCCGGAATAACACACCTCAACTGGCTCAAGTCTACAGTATCTTCGGGTTAAATTAAAAATGCCTGTGAGTGCTCGTATCGGCTGGAATTCACACGAACGCCCTGCAGTCTATTTCTAGTACATGATGGAGGAAGGACTCATCGGCAGTCTGAGATGTCGAGCAGTTCTTGATGACTAGTATCATTCGTGTACTGGCGTGTTACGGAATCTGTACGGTATATAGTGCGACATCTAGGTAGTGTCTGGACATAGGCAATGCCAGTAGTAGTGGTTAGATTCGACATGTGCACATCATAATAATTTAAAATGTTACACGCTATCCATGGCCACTGAAGTAGAATCTGTTTTTTGGTCGCGCCAGCTCATTCTGTCCGTGACGGTGGGTGCTTTACCATTTTGGGGCAGTTGCAATTCGAAGAGCAGAGCAGCACTCTTGGAATTGATGTGTGGTGCTTGAAACTGGGATTCTCAGCCTGTATGGTATTTGTGGCGTTGGCTGCCAACTTCAAGTTGTTGTCTGATACAATGCAACAATTAGTGGGCGCAGAGAGTTTTCATTCAGTGTATCGATTGCGATTACGCAATGCCTAACATCTTGCTTGGAGCACGCATGTTGGAAGGAAGTACATGTGCCTATTACTGGAAGGTTGAACTTCCCTTCCCTCGACACTAGTTACGTAGGAACAGCAACAGACGTTACACTCTATGACTATGGTCATTAGTAGCAGCAGCTTACTACTACATGTACTAGCACTGTAGAGGCTATTCTGTGTACCTGCAGTGCTGTGTAAGGTTACATACCTAGCGAGACACAAGATGGAATTCTCGACGCAATGTGGCTAATTTCCTCTTTACGCCGACCGCTGCAAACGCTCCTTACAACTAGCACTCAAGGCGAAAAATGCCTTATGCTGTTCGTATGCTGAAACCTGCGAATACACTGTCACTGGGGATTGCGACGGATACACAACTACAGCAATAGCTCTTCCTTTTCTTTTCGTTTTAGACCAGGAGTGTGTGCACGGGACCGCTTGACCAAAAAATGCACTTTGCCCTGCTGTCAGTGCTACACCGATTTTTACCCGTATGTTGCGAGGGGGCATTAAATTAAAAAACCCTGATCAGGTGCATCGGGTAGAGCCTCTGCTTGTTCCCGAGATTGTACTCCGGTCGATGGCACATGCAGTCAGTGTGGAGGGATGCGCTAAAGCCTGCTGTACAAAACACATAAAAGATACAATTCAAACTCCTCGCAACTAATAGGTATGTCTTTGTCAGAAAGGCCTTTATCTGAGTGACTGGTTCAAATCTAGACTAGTCTTTTCTGGTGAGCTGTGTACGGATACACACTATACTGAAACTGACACGTTTAATGGGATGCTATTCCCGCGGGCACTGGTGAAAGTACGAAATGATTGCTTAATAGTGGTGGTTGTGGGCAGAACATTTGAGACAAATATAGCTGTAGCACCTGCATACGCTTAAGGCGTATTTATACTAGTCACACGTCGCGCACTCTCTCTCTCTCTCTCTTTATTGTCACCCAGGCCATGGGATAGCTCTGTGCTGATTGAACTTCCTAAGTCCTTGTGGCCGTTCGGGCAGGTTATAGCTCAATGTATGCTGAATAATGGCAGGTACTAGGTAGTGGCCAGCACAAACACGTGTGCCTGGCAACATCGTCACAGTACTACACTAGTGATAGGCAGTCCATTTTCTAGAAATCTGGAAGAAGGCCAAGTATCACCATGCGATGCTGATTGGAGCACAGTAACTATGGCATTGTAACTACTTGTTGCTGGGTGACCGTATGCAGAAACACATGGAAACGAACTGTCAAAGTTGATTCGTATGAGTCGCTCCTTCGCAACTATGAATTGATTGATTAGAGGCGCCCCCAGTCATATCGGCAATCTTGCCACATTAGCATAATGCGTTTGCTTCCTAGTACCGTATGAACAGATACATCTGATACATCAGATACATCAGATACATCTGATTCTGTACAAAAAGTACAATCCTGTACAATGTAGATCTACATTCCGCAAGACACTCTAGCCTTTGGGCAATACCAAGAGTACATAACCCCTTATGTACTCTTGGCAATACCAATAGTTATGGTGCTAGAGCCCGCAACGCCGTAGAGGAGGAATTACCAATCCCAGTTCACTGAACACCTTCCTGACGTTGGTTGAAGCAGCAGCAACTGTTACTTCAGACTCAGTACAAATCATGACATTGTATCATTCTTGTGAGTTTATAGTAGGCCAAGATGTCTAAAACGTTAGGTGGCTATTGTTGAGTCTCGTTCTCTGTACAGTGCCCCATTTCCCACTAATGTCTGGTTTTGAGAGTCTATCGGCTTGTACACAAGTACGTACATAACCTGGCTATGTAGGAGTCTCGGTTTGTGTCAATACCCCCACAGCCACAATGGATGCAGTCTCGTAGGCCGAACTACCAAACTAAACACGTCGAAAGCAAACTTTGTTCGAAACGTTGATCTACACAGCCTGTCAGCATGGTCATACAGTCGTGACAAGTACAAGTGCAGTGTGCCGCTATTTAGCGGTCCATTATGGTGGTGGATCATTGTATGCACTCTCCCTAGCCTAGCACCTGTGTCCCAGGCCATGCAGGCTCCGGTACCTATTGTAATTAGTGCCACCATCTTGAGCTCTCCTGAAACGTACTTACCACAGGACACTCGTGTGCAATCATCACGCTGTTCATTGGTGCATGGAGGGGTTTGCAGCATGTTGCCTCGAGGTTTTGTTCCCAATTAATTTATTATTTTCACATTTTGGAATGTCAAGTGCTCAGTAAGTTCGGTTCCAGGCTGGTGGCGATGAGAGCACTTGAGGGGCTGAGTGAATGGTACGCTTGACGGGAGACTCTCGCGCAGTGCGTCTCCATTCCATGTCATTGGACAGAGTATGTGGATGGCCATGATGAGGATGATGGCACTTCGACAAAGTGTGACCAAGCTTGCTGCGAGCAACGAAAATAGACGTGAGACGGAGGAGGCCGCACAGCTCGAAGAGTGCCCGTATATGATGGCTCGTCCAAGCAGGCACTTTCTAGGGCCAACTCGCTGCAGTCCTGTAGCCCTAGCTAATTTGCCAGGATAAGGATGAGGAAGGAATGACTGCTCTATCACATAATTCAGTGAGTGTCAAAACTCATATCCGCTAAGAGGGGGGCTTGCCATATGAAGCTATCTATCGCACGTCAGTGCTAGTGGCAGAAAACTGACATTCCATGACGCAGCTCTGCCTGAGCTCAGAAATCAGGTCGTGCCAGTGCTGCTGAATTTCCGGACAATCCGGCTCAGTGATAAAGGGCTCAGCTGTGGAAGCAGCCCAAAGCAGGCATGAGGTCACTACTGTCACATGGGTGTTGCTGGTGGCCATGTCACTACCCTTTCCACAGGACCCATTGGATGATAAGGACTGACATGTTTGGGCGATCCTCTTGCAATCGAAAGTGACAGATCGTGACACAAGGAAGGGAGTTGGTACCTGAAGAGCATGCATATTTGCTTAGTGATAATACTACTTTACAATATAGACCCTAGACCATTACGCCATTTGAATTTCTTTAAATAATCATGTGAAACTCACGGTTCGCCTCTCCTATTGAGAACACACCACAACAATCATACCGAAATCGATCGATATTCGCAATCTTCGAAATTTGGCGGTTCCTTTGGAAAATTCCAGGCAAATTGTCACATGCAGGACATGTTAATATGATGTTATGGATGTCCATGGGACTGAAGTAAAAGCACATAGCCAAGATGTGAAGGGGGGGGGGGGTGGCATACATGTATGAACGATTATAGTGATGATATGCACGGACAAGTACACGTACGTGCTTGAGAGCATGCTGTCATGCAGCCCCATCACGGGGACGAGTCGACTACTGTCATTGAGAGTTTTCTGGACGCTTATGGCTTGGTGTTTCCCTGCAGGCAAAGTACATGGATCCAGCGGAGTCGATTTGCGTTGGTGAGGACTATGGCGTGCAATTTGCAACTGCTTGAAGTAGCATTATGTTGCACCTTGTGTGGGTTTATTATTATTATTATTATTATTATTATTTAAATATTCGACGAGGAGACAATAATTTTTTTAAATTATTGTCTCCTCGTCGAATATTTAAAATATGGCAATAAGTAGGACGAGCTGAAGTGACATTTGGATTACTTTATTAACAATGTAAGCGATGGAAACGATGCAAAAAAACAATGTAAAGGGTAAGGAAGATACATGTATGAAGAAAAAAAGCGATGGAAAGAAAGATGATTCGAACAAGTTTTCTTTCCATCGCTTTTTTTTCTTCATACATGTATCTTCCTTACCCTTTACATTGTTTTTTTGCATCGTTTGCATCGATTACATTGTTAATAAAGTAATCCAAATGTCACTTCAGCTCGTCCTACTTATTGCCATATTAAAATTATTATTATTTCAAATTTGGACTTCACGGAGACTTTCAAAGTTTTTTTTAGGAAATTAGAGGTGAGAAAAGAGCAGTACGTGGCATGTGGCCTTTAATTTCCTAAAAATTATTATTATTATTATTATTAAAAAGCTTACGTGGAGATAAAAATGTAATCAACGCAATAAATAGAGTAAGCTGCGCACTCAGTACAAACACCATTAGCAAAACGTGTTTTCATGTAAATAAAGAAGCTTGTTCCTAAACGTTTTCGTCGCCATCTTCTAGTAGTGGTGTTAGGGTGTATGAATCTTCTGTTGCTAACCATCTTGTTCAGAATAGTGATTGTCGTTCTAGTTATACTGATTATTGCTTTTTTGTTTGGTCTCGTTCACGTAGTCAAAGGTATTTGCGTGTATTGGAGTCTATCTACTTCGAGTACATTTTTACCACCAAGCCAATTTTGTGTAGGCAGAAAAAGAATTTGTTTACGTTGAAATTGTTTGTGAATTTAGATCAGTAGTTCTCGTTTGTGGTTGCATGGTTACTTTCTAGTGGTGAATTTATCGCATCTGTTGTCACCTGATATCGTTGATTGATGTAATGTTTCTTTCACCTCTCATTTTCTCGCGCTAGTTAGGGTCTAAATTAGTACTTGCATTGTGCGTATATATATTGAGTTTAGAGCTAATGTTGATTTGCCAGTAATCCTCTGAGATGGCGACGAAAACGTTTAGGAACAAGCTTCTTTATTTACATGAAAACAAGTTTTGCTTATGGTGTTTGTACTGAGTGCGCAGCTTACTCTATTTATTGCGTTGATTATTATTATCCATACCCTTATTATTCCACAATCACGATGACATAGTGCCAATACACATGTTATGCGGGCGATTTTAACCAGCCATGGTGGGGAAAAACTGAGAAAATGAACAATGGAAACAAATCAAAAAGAGAATTAAAGGAACCTGGAAAGAGCAGTATGAAGATTAGGCTAGCAAGGAAACACAACGAAACCGTCGTCAATTCAACTTGGGTAGGCACGATTTGCAACGTTATTTTGCACTGTCAACATGAAAAATGTGTTTTTTTGCATATTTTGTGTATTGTACATTGTATTGCAAACATATCACCTAATGCCTGTTGTGCTGTTGTTTTTGCTCGCAATTGTGCCTGCTGCAGAGGGTGTGGATGCAAAGTGCCTTCTGAAACCGACCTATACAACTGAACGAGAGGCAGGCTATGATGGTGGGTGCATTTAAATAAACCTCCCTCTTGTTGCGAGATGAGAAGAAGGCTGTTCGCAAGCAGATATTGTCTTGTTGTTGACATTCCGGTTGCCAACACATCTTCTCTCAACAGAATTCTGTGGACAGCAGCCTTCAAATGGTTTTCCATGGTGTTTTCCATGGTGTTTTCCATGGTGGAGCAAAATATCTTTAAAAACTGCTTCGATGTTTCATGTAGAATTTTCAGGCTTTAGTTTCTACCTTGGCACCTAAACAGCTTTAGTTTCTACCTTGGCACCTAAACAGCTTTCTGTGGTTTGTTTATTGTTTTCTGTGTGTTGCAGACTGCCACGACACTCCGCAGTTTGTTATGGAAAACCATCAGAACTGTACGCCACCGTCCGCGCCTCAGAACCTCAATGCTACCGTCACGTATTGGTCCAAGGATCAAATCGTCATCCTTGTTCAATGGAAAACTCCGAAAGAACGTGAGTGCTTGCTCCCCTCCCCCCCCCCCCCCCCCCCACTGCCCCTGACCGTGATACTATTTTCTTGAGAGAGTTGTGTCCTGAAAGAGATATCTAAAGTGATGTAAAGATAATGGAGGGTGGTAGATGCGTATTGACATTGCAAAGACCTCATAACCTGTTGCTTGAAAGGACAAACCATCAACTAAGTGTGAAAGTAACATCTTACTTATGGATCATACGCATGTTTCTGATGAACCTTATACATTTTTTGATGGGCCTGTTTGAGATGGACGGTATGCCTGTCTTAATCAGTTTTCCCTGTTGTACATTTTCTTTCTCACCTTCGTTATATCACAGGTGTACAAATGCACTCTTGCTTGCTCAGTCACTCACTCGATCATTCTCTTTCTCTCTCTCTCTCTCTCTCTCTCTCTCTCTCTCTCTCTCTCTCTCTCTCTCTCTCTCTCTCTCTCTCTCTCTCTCTCTCTATCTATCTATCTATCTATCTCTCTCTCTCTCTCTCTCTCTTTTCTCTCTCTCTCTCTCTCTCTCTCTCTCTCTCTCTCTCTCTCTCTCTCTCTCTCTCTCTCTCTCTCTCTCTCTCTCTCTCTCTGTCTCTCTCTCTCTCTCTTTCCCCCCTCTCTCTCTCTCTCTCTCTCTCTCTCTCTCTCTCTCTCTCTCTCTCTCTCTCTCTCTCTCTCTCTCTCTCTCCTCTCTCTCTCTCTCTCTCTCTCTCTCTCTCTCTCTCTCTCTCTCTCTCTCTCTCTCTCTCTCTCTCTTTCTCTCTCTCAATATCTCTCCCAATTGTTTTTGATGCAGTTTGTCCTTTGACCGGGTATCGCATAGCTGTCTGGCGAGGCGAGAGCCAGCCTAGGAGAATCATAGGACCACCCTGTCTTTGCTTCAACATACCGGGGGTAAGAGAAAAGGTGGTTCATTAACTGAAAGCCACTCTACGCAGTCGCGTTCCGCACTGCAATCCTCAGACAAAGTGCCAAAATACATTGCATTTCCAAACATATTAACT